AAGCAGATAGAGAAGAAGATACCTCCCATCTCTGAACATCCATACTAGTAAGGGGGTACGTGACTCTTAGAAAATAGGTAGGCCGGAAAGTTAGGGGGTTTAGGGTCTGCCTGCAAAGACACTGAGGTCTTCCTATCTTAGAAGGGGTCCGTCCTAATGCACCTACAATTAAGCAAGCCAGAAGGCATTTTTTTAACTCACACAAAGAAACCAGTAGGCAGAGATTTAGGTACCAGTTTAAGCCAGTCACTCGCACCTGAGCAATGAAGACCCCAAAGACCTTCAACTCACCTGAGTCTCATTATACCATCATGATAATATGATGCATATGCCCGGAAGTTCATTAAATATCATTATAACAGACTGAATTCTGGGAACAAACATGCGCATAAAGCAAAATAATGAATCACTGAGTCCTGTCAATCTTAGTTGTCAATCAAGGAAGCCCACTCTAAGTAACCACCCACAGCAAAAAAGGGATAAAAACCCTGAAGTCTTTGTTACCAGGCCTTTTGAGCCACGCTTCTCTTGCTCAGGCCCACTTCCACTTCTGGAAGTGTACTTTCCTTTCTAATAAAACTTTTCTTTTCTACTGTATTTCGGTGTCTTGCTCAATTCTTTGTTTGAGACATCAAGAACCTGGACAACGTGCCGGGAGAGGACTCCCACTCTCCGGTAACAATTCCACAGAGACACAGGAATATGCAGGCACTGTGGAGAGAACAGTGGCTTTGAGGCAGAAGTTAGTTGGGACCCAGGGTAGTTCTGACATCCAGCTGTGAGATCTGGCTTACATCTCAAAACCACACTGTTATGTGATTGCCCAGACCAAAGACAAGTAACTGCAACTTGCCCCTTCAGAGTGAAAAAGAAGACCCCCAGGCAGCATACTGGCAACTAGTAGTCCCTAGTACCCTGAAGTAACTCTTGCTCATTATAAGCTTATTATAATATGATTAGCATTGCTGTAACCTGCCCCCCCCCCTCACCCCATGGGTTTCACTTGGGTACTTATGGGTAACAAGAAGATGGCAACAAACAGAAAACCCAAATAAGGAAGGTGCATCAAGAGGCTGTCCTCAGAACTTCAAGAGACAGTCTTCAGGAAGAACCCAGAACTCCAACTAAGATAAATCTGAGAATCCAAGACCCTGTGGGTACGCAGCTCACTCACAGGCTCACTGGCACCCTTCTCTTGCCCGTAATCTTACTTAATAAAAAAAAAACTTTGTTCTCATTTGCATTTTGTCTCTGTCAAATTCTTTCAATGACGAAGACAAAGACGGAGCCCGAGGCTCACACAGCACAGCCATCCTGCACCGGTAACAGATTTATAAAGTGAAAGGGAAGCCCACAAGTTTCTCAGCTTTGGGCCATCTTCTTTTAATAGTCAAATTACTCAGGCCCCCACTTTTCTACAACTGCAGTAAATTCAGGGCTCT